TCTATTTGGGCTGCTACACAGGCTACACCAGGGCTGGCTATGTGTGTGACTCAATAAGGCTATGAATCCATAACAGTAYAAAAATTAATGTTCAGTTCTATTTCACCTCATAAACATTGTTAGAAGGGGTGAATAGATAGGTCTACGGATCTTTGGATTTTGCAACTTTACATTTTTTGGTCTGCATTTCAGTTTCTGCTCGTTGTAGAGTTAGGATTGCAGGTCTGTGTGTACACGGTATGCTCTCTTCAGAAATGTTTTATGTTTGTTTTTGTCAGCTGAGACAGGCAAAGCAACTGTCAAAATGTTTGCGGATCGAATTTGCAAATTTTTTGTGTGTGGATCTACGGCTTTGGGTTATACACCCCTATTCACACCCCCCCCCCCACCCCTGACAAAATTAAGACTTCGTGATGACAACGCATGCTACTGCATTGTTGGAGCACCCTAACTTCTCCCTCAGAAAATTAAACCCATTGCCACTTGCTAAACAAGACAATGTTGCRACAGGTAAATGGGAAACAGCTGCTAATGTCAATCACAGAAAATGCTAAGCTGTGTAAAATATGAAGTAAATGGGAACCATGGGAAGGTACAGGGGAATGTTAGATTTGATTGACAGCAGTCTAACTTCCCCATTTACTCATCACACTTGCACTGAAATCCGAGAACAATGTACAAACTTTTCGGTGATCATAACACAATCCAATAAAATTTATACCACATAATGGCTAATTTTGTTTTTAGTCCTATTCAGTGAGAACTAGCATATGCATTGAAAAAAGCTGTAATGTAAATTAGAAAGGAAGAAGTGCATTTTCATTTAGTATCCACACTAGTGGTTGGATCAGTAATTTTAAGTGATTGCTCATCGACAAGGTAAGGTGTAGTTGACCTATCTCTAGCCTATGCAAATGTAAAGATTTATCTACTGTAAAACCAGAGGGCAAAATATTCTTACGGCAGAAAAAAAAAGGAAAGTTGAAGGATATCTGGATGGCTTGTCTGTTGTATTTCCAGGAGTAGCTGCCAATAATGCTTGTACTATATACAGCAGCATGCACAACTTATATTTTCAGCACCTGAAAAGTAAAATTTTTTAAATGAATGGTTAGTATTATTCAGTTTTTTCTCTTACAAATAAATAGTTTATTTACACAAAAGTCAGATTTATTCATGGATAAGTGTGGTTTACAGTTGGTAAGCTATGTGAAAAAAATTGATAGGATTTAGCAATGGCATTTCCACAGAGTGGCTCTTCATCTACTGAAATGTGAATTGGATATTTAGAATTAGATTTTTGCAGARGGAGRAAACAGCAGAGAATCTAAAGAAAAACCCAGCCAACGCAGCCACAGTTCGAGTCCTGCCGGTTTCAGTGTTGTATGTGAGTAGAGTAAATTGTTTGTTGGTTCTCTCTTGTGCTTTGAGGGTTTCTTCCCGGTTTTCCTCCCTCCTCAAAAATCAAGAATTCTAATTCGATCTTGGGCTTTCRCTCAGTTGGAGCCTAGCTCTGTTGTGACAGTCTCAYGTTGTGAATAAAACAGCAAAAGCTTAATAGATTTTTAGATTTTAAAACAGTTTTGTCCAAGATTGTAGTATAAAATGAAATAATGGTTATAAAACAAAGAATCAAAAGCTGAACTTACTGTGAGATCTTCAGCTTTGCAGGTGGTTGGCCTTTCCTTCCACTGATTCTCCACTTCTGATATGCTTCTAATTTAACCAGCCCTTGGTGACCATCACCAGATGATTTTCTTCGCTCCACTTCATGATCACCAGAAGATTTTCTTCGTTCCAATGGTGCTGCTGGCTCACTGTTAATACGCTGGTGATTCGGAGACTCCTTAGAAAGTGAATCAACTGCACCATCACTTCTGACAGAGGATGATCGTTCAAAGCTAATCTCAGAAAATGCTGCTTTAATTTCATCAGGATGAATGCATGAGTTTTTATTCAGATTTATCGGAGTTATAATTTCTTTCTCTTGCTGTGAGGGTTTTTCTTTTTTTGATAKTTGTTTGTTTTCTTGAAGAGATGACTTCAATTCTTCACCTAAARCATRAAATACAAACATTTTTCAGTAAGTACTGTACRCTGTAAACCTTTCTTTTASTAATATAACAACCACAAACAACATTTTCCAATAAGCCTGAAGTGAGATGACGTTTTACCCCCGACTCTATACCATAATAGYTTTTAAAATTCTTTCATATTAAAATTTTTGATTCCTTAGAGAATACAGGAACAATAGTCRTAATTAAAGAACAAAAGCAGTGTGAAAAGGATTATGGTCTAGAGAYGGGGGTAAAACGTCATCTCRCTTCAGGCTTATTCCATTATTCTTACAGCACYTCMTAACATTWACTCCWACYATTTATCTAAAATTAYCTAATCAGGGCTAAAAATAATGGRGKTMATCTCTGACAATGYCTGGCCTTGYCAGGACWAATCRTTGSCTTGCCAGTCATTTTCACCAGTAGAGTGAAGACATTTAMGGAGGYTGGAAAGTGTTTTGTGCCTTCACAWACACTTACAATTATGAACTAAAAAAARGTTAATATTGCTATAATATGACAGCAAGTAAACCCGGAATGCAAAAGACTATAAACCAAAGATCACAATGAACATGAAAAAATGACGTCAGACGTTGCTATGACAACCWCAGAACCCTTGGTATGCCATCAAAAATGCTCATTTAAAAAATCATAACTCAGAAACTGGTGAATTTTTTTAAAAAGCGGAATATTTAAAGTTTGTATCGTAATCTTCTTTTTGGCAAAAAAAGAAAAAAATCTGTACATGTAATAGGAATTTCGTAAAAATCAATAAAATTCGTTTGGAATAGTTCCCTCTTACAGAATTTTTTAAATTTTTCCTCAAGTTTTCAAAAACATAAACTAAAGCCATATGCAAAATTTGAAGAAATTTCACCACAGAGTTTTTGATTTTTTTCAGTTTGAATATTGAAAATTTATAGAGCGCACGCGAGGTCAAGAAAAACCATTTCGAGCCTCCTTAACCAGTGAAATACGTACTAAACTAACACACTTTAAATGACCCTAATTCCATTGTTTTCTTCTGTGTCTATTTGACTATTACTCGTTGACTAGTATTTTTTGTTTCACAAGTTAAATGCCTTCAGTCTAATGTTGAGCCAGAGCTATGACTGATAACTAATTTACCAGTCATCATGACTGGGGAATCACCAGCCRTCATTTCTAGCCCTGCTAATATCWATATAATAAAYATGTAGTGTCTAAATACCTGTAGARACATYRATGATGCTGTCAGGAGCAAAAGCCCAAGGATCATGACTCACTTCATTTGTAGAATTGTCACTAAAGTAAGCAGACGATGAGCTCCGGCAAGACTCATTTTTATAATTCCCAAGTCCTCCTGGAAGTGGGGGATCTGCATCCAAGACCCATCCATCTTCCCCTGCATCATCAAAACAACCTTCTTCATTCTGGTATTTTGAATCTGATAGTGCCCAGGCATTGGAGTCATCGAAATTATTTTTCAAGCTTGTGTTGATTTTTGACGACGTTGCTGTACAGTCTGAATCACTCCCAAAACTATGCCARCTAGAATCTACTAAAGATTTTGTTTTTGACGGAGGAAAAGAAGCTGTGAAGTCAATGGAACTGGAGTCCCCTACCCCTTCGTCCTGATGAAAATCTGCAAACTCATCCACATCATTAATGTTGTTAAAATTTGTTGTCCTTTTGAGTCCACCTAAAAACTGTGCCTCTGTAGCTGACGGCACATCATTATTTGACAATGCCGAAGCATGTTTTCCTTTTTGAACAAATCCTGTGAGATCGTCAATRTAAGAATCTTCTCTCTTGGTGAGGTCACTCAAGTGACGTCTTGCGTGTTTACTGTGTGTATTGGGACTGGGTTGGTAATATTCATCATCTGAGAAGACAGCTCTGCTGTCAGGTGATGTGCCCCTGTAATTTGCAAGGTCTTCCTCTTCATGCGCCAGCATRCAGTCCATCTCAACTGCAAGCTGATCTCTTTCTGCTTGTATAGATGATACTGTAGATTCAGCATCCATTAATTGCCACTCCAGGCTGGAGATTTGTTTGTCTTTTTCCATGAGAGTAATCTGTAGTGTTTTGACCTGATCAGRAAAAAATGTTATAAGACGATGACCCTGTAAGGGGTACTAATAAGAGTATTATCTTTCATAGACTGTTCTGGCTTTGCAATATGAAGTTAAAAGTGAGCATCGTTAACCCAAATTTCACCTGTCAGTGAGGTTTGGGTTAAGCCTTGACTGACGATCAGCCAAGAGTCGGCCAATTCTCAACAGACAATTGACAACTGGTAATAACTTCACTTACTAATGGGTACAGTAAATARAATGTTGGTACATGTTAACTGTAAACATACTGGCTAATACCCTAATTATAACCACACAATGTATTTATCATACAATATTGAAATAGCTTAAGAAATTAAATTGATGTAAAGAGCTACCCACTTGTCTCTCAGCTTGTGCCTTGTCTTCCAATGCCTTCTCTGCATCAAGGCTTGTTGTGACCCATGATGGTATTGYTTTTGTGCCTACAGTAATATTTTTTATCCAGAAAAAGAAAAAAAAAGATCAAAGACTGTATTTAATATGAAATCTTAATCTATTTMATGTTACAATGTAGAAGTGTAATACTCTTGGTTTTTAAAAGGTAAAAGAACATATATCCAGTAATCTAACCTGAGAAAGGAAATGCACTGAATCTAAATCTAGTTGGATTTACCACTCCATGGTTGACGGCCTAACAGGTTTTGCAACCCTCTTGATAAGGCTACTGATAGATCAAATTAGACTACATGTACACCACCCTTGGTTCCCTAATATTATTTGACATGGGTGTACCTTCATGAATTTTCACATCAGCCATCAACTGTAAATTCACTTTTCTCAACTCGCTGATTTCCTGTTCATAATCCCGAGCTTTTTCTAGAGAATTGGTTTCCTGTAGAATCAAGCGTTCTTCAAGGCAGCCCTTTTCAAAAGAGAGTTTCTCACATTGAATCTGAAGCTGTTCAACTTTCCCTCTCAAGCATTCTACAGCATCAAGAAGATCTTCGACATGTTCCTCCATTAACAGGTCCACTTCTCGTGGGGTGTCATCACAGTCGTCAAACTGACCAGCCACACCTGCCATGGTCTTTAGTTTCAAGGGATCGGCATGGTTATCCTCTTGCAAGGCTYTGTCGTTATCCAATGATTGAAGCCTTTCATGAGAACTGTTTATTGCAGGGCTGCTATCTTCATTAGTAATCCCATAAACCATTCCTGTTATTCACAAAAATATAGGCAACTTAATATAAATAAATATGGTGTTTAAAAATGAAAAAAAATTCAGTCCAGCCTTTATTATATTATTCCAAATATATAGTAAAAGCACTAAAAGTGTGCAATAGATTGCACTATTTAGCATTAATAATATTAAAGGATAGCAAACAATAGAATAATATAGAACTGACTATTTGGCACTACTTAGGTTGCATGCTTTTAGTTTTCGTACTCTAAAATTCATCTTTATAAATGAACAAACTCTTTCTAAATAAAATCAAAAATTAATGTTATATTACAGGGAGGAATAATTATTCAGGAACATTTTCAGTTTTTTTTTCAGTTTTTATCACACACAAGTATTAGATCAGTGGTTACACTGAGTCACTAATACTTTARGATTCAATTGCTGAATATCTTTAAGACATAAATTGACCAACAATTAAGAAACAAACGCCATGACCACAAGAATTAAACMTTCCAATATCACACTCATTTATTATGGATTTTGCCAACATAGAGTTTCAAAAACCAACATTAAATATACCATACAATTCCATAATACACCAAAATGCATGGATGTGTGTATATGCAMATATACGAGTTTATAAGAGCCCTTAACCATCATGTCAATCATACCTTTCAAGTGCATACTCAAATACATTACTTTAGTTTACCAGTAGAGCATAAATTATACGAAACTTTTACTTATACAACAAATATATTAATACTCCAGTTTCAAGTTTTCTTTGCTTAGCCTTAATCTCGGTTGTGTGTTATAATAATCAGCTATTCAACCAAATCGTATTGTTCCGTAGTATGTACATTCCTTACTATACACTAGTCCTTAATAAAAGAAAAGAACACATTTGTACACAATTGAGGCTAGACTAAGCAAAGGGGGAAACTCGAAATAGGAGTGTTAATAAAATAAAAAATAAAAAACATTCAAGGAAGTTCTTAAAAAATCTCTGAATACTAATTATACTAGGTTCTCAAGCTAGTTATATAGTATTTCATTGTATAGATAAATATGTATATATCAATATATAAASTGTATATATAGCCGTTAATAATTAAAAATGTTTGTTATCATCATTAGTTGGACAACAAGGTTTCTGATGACGGATATCTGTTGAAATAATCTTTAACAGGAGCCAATATGAAACCTTAGATACGATCTAATAGGAGAAATCAAGTGCCTTGAAACCAAAGTAACAAATTAATTGATATATGCGGATATTTTAGAGAGTTAGGTTACTCGTGCGGGATCAACACACTGTATCTACACAGAATGAAGCCACTTTTGTGAATTAAACCATCTGAATGCATTGTAGTCACGAATGAAAAGAAAAACATCACTAAAATCGTTCAATGAGTGGTGTGATTAGAGAAAAATACTGAGAAGTCTGAGTGTGTCATRTCGTATAAAGCGTCCTGTGGTTCRATATAGAGTAAAACCTACACTAAAACAAACAGATCTAGACTTGAGTACATATTTACGTAAAACCTTTCTCTTCGGTGCGAGCCTTGATAAATATAWAAATCTATGTGTGTTTTCGCTCAGTTTTCACCTCCTTTTTAAATCASAACAATCTTCTAGTTTTTCATCAATGAATATTTATATTTCGAGGAAATTAAAGGTAAAAATATCGCACCCATTGGACACGTTTCCTTCAGTCCTTCCTTCCTTYTTAATCCACCACCCTGGTTCATAATCACGTCTTTCATCAACAATGAATAACTATTCTCAGTAAATCGAGATTCCTCTATCAAATGCAACCCCAGATCATTCTTTTTTGGAACAAAAACGAAGTAAATATTGATTTTAGCTCAGAAATGAAAGCTTTTATTTTCACGTCCAGCGAAGAGTGATTAAACCACTACACCTCTACGACGTACGATTAAAAATATTCCTATCAAACTACTCGACTAAACTAAAAACCTAAGTACAGTCTTTAGAGTCTATGTATATGATATAATACAGTACCAATTTTGTAGTTAGTGTCTGGAAGATTTTTTTACTGTGTAAACAATAATCTTCAGGGTTGACAAACAGTGCGCCCTTGTCAAAAATCCAACACGACAAAGCCGAATATTTTACGTTTTTTGAAGACTTACCCTTAATAAAATCAGCCCGACGCTATTCCCTGTAGCAACTACACCATCGAGGTATGACCCAGCCTGGTTTTTAGTTCAAAAGAAAGCGCAAATTTCGAATTATAACTTGAAAAATCAAGGTTGCTTTGTGTACTGTTCTGTTTGGCGAAGAAGTATTTGTCATGTGCTCGCCTCAGTCCAATGCTGATGTGATCACGTGGGAGGTAAAGCTTCCCGCCATAAGAATAGCTCTCAAAAATAGCGGATATATGGATCACCTCTTCATCTCAGTATATTATTTTTCATTCCGTTTAATTTTTCCGTTTTGAAATTTCCTGTTGTAAAAATTAATGCCAAGATATACATCGACAGGCTTTTAAATACATAATTTTTCCGCTAACGGCTACCGATATTCAACTGAATAATTTGTTTGCGCCAAACTGAGTTTTTTTTCCTGCGCTCCTGAAAAACTATGGAAAATCTATAGTTAAAAAGTATCTAAAATCAATGGCTTAATATAAGGTATTATAGAAATAAATTAATTAAGTAACCAGCGGATGAAAAACGGCTTCTATTTTCCGTTTTCCCGCCACGTCGGTTCGGGGTAAAACTGACAAGTTTATACTGATAATATCTTTTCATAAACTTTACTAGTTTACAAACGTTTGCGTAAAGGAAAAGACTAATAAGATTGTAGTGTCGCCGTCTACAGAAAGTTTGTACTTTTATAGCGGTGCAATTCGTCTTTTATTTATCTTTGGTTCAGACTCGTGCATCCTCTGAAGGCAGGGGAGGGCCACAAGCATGACAAAACCATAGTACCGATTCACTGAACACAGCACTCCCTAAACTATGTGGGAGGACGGAAGGTGGGGTGGGTAAGCGGATAAGGAAGATAAGACAATATAAAAAGACGTCTTCCTTATTTCCAGCCCAGACAATGATCAAGTAAGGATCAAGAACGTTCGTGAAAATTCCGTACGAGCCTGGAACAGAAAACAGCATGAAATGCCTGACAAATACCTTTGAATCAGATATGGGCTTCTTTTTCGTGGTAAAAATTAATCCTTGCTAGAGCGCGACGCTGAGCAGGGCCAATCGGAACGACACGTCTTCATACCTCTTTACCGAAGATAAGCTCTTTAAAACCATTATTCTATGAACGTATTGCTATGTCTCGATAATGAAAAAGTATGCCAATAGGATAATCAAGGAGATAAGATGGCTCCATGTTTGACATCAAAATTAACGGAAAATATTGTGGTAAACTAACTACTTATCAAGCAGGAACTGTCAAAAATGCGAAGCAGGTTCTTCACTACGACACGTAATCAAAGATACAGGGGGGGATTTCCCTTTTGATTCCGGGATCGACACCACTTCGGAATCCACAACTGCGGACAGACAGAATGTCGAAGCGAGGCCAGACAATTACTATCCAGGCGGTTGAGGGTGCTTATTACCTCTATTCCTGTTTACCATTTATATGTAAACGGTAGGTGGACAAGAAGGGCGCATTGATTTCAACTTTTCTTCAACTTTTCCTGCCAGAGAACTGCAGAGACGACCTATTTCCTCTATTGATGGACTGCAAGCATTTCTAAGAGAGTCAAAAGACAAAAACATGGCGGCCATTGTGGTGCCGTTCACAATGGATGCTAATGAGAAATCTTTTGTTAAATGGCACCAACATGGCCGCGATGACTCAGCGTGCAATCGAAGAATATTACATACAACAAAATGTTAATGTGCAATATRAGTCCATCTGAAAATAATCTATGTAAAAAAATCAAAATTTATTTAAAATTTTATTCTATTTTTACAACTAAATAGTGCGTTCTGAGTGGTGTTTCCTTTGAATTTTAATGTTTTAAATATATATGTGGCATATCTTCTGCTACAAAAGCTTTCTAGAGCTTYGACGACACTACAAAAACTCTTTGCAGACTCATCTCAAGAGAACCCTGGCCCAATGATGGGGGCACTACTGATAATGGTCCAGCGAGCACCTACTAATGCTAATGGCCCAATCTGAGATTGCCCACATCTATAATGGTYCAAAGCAGATGGCAACAAAACCAGTATTGTTCGTTCAGTGAGAGCTGTCTTATGTCAATGGTCCAATTTAAAAGTCCCACATTAAAAATGGCCCCATAGCATATAGGGTGGTGCAGACAGTTGGTCCAATGAGAGCCCTTTTATAATAATGGCCCCATCTGAGAGTGCTCTGGTGGTCTTGTAATAAGTCATCAGTGAAAATGGGCTGGTGAGAGAGACCCAATGAATATGGCCCAGTGCAATTTGTCTCTTGATCATCTCATCATTTGAACAGGACCCTAACTACTGTACTTTCTGTTACTAAAAAGAGAGTTCTCCTTTAATCAGCCTTCTTTTCATTCCATTGTACGTCATTCTGGAACTCTGTCTCTCTGGTTACACAATGACGAGGAAACCACCCTTTAACTGATTGAAGATCAGCTTTGATGCCTGTAAGATAAAAAGAAGTAACCTAAATATTATAATCATGTTCACAGACCAGTTCTACTGGCAGAAATAGGTGATTCTGTGTTTGTACTAACTGTTCGTATGAYGATTTCTCTTCTCACCATACATCCAGTACCTGGAACAATGAATAAAAAAAAAAACAACCCAGAAATTACATTGTTGTGAAACACTATAATTAAAATATCCAAACTGAAAGCCTCAATATACTATATTCTTTATTCATTCATTCATTCTTGATTGATTGATTGATTTTTTGGTTGATTGGTTGGTTGAATCATTCATTCATTCATTCATTACTTCATTCATTTAAAGTGTGCTTCCTTTGCACTAAGGCTGYGTTTATAATGAATGGCAGAGGGGGGTGCAGGTGAAATTGAGGGGGGATCGGGAAAATTTTGGTAGGAAAAAGGGGGGATGGACAAATTTTTATCAGAAAAATGGGGGATGCACAATTTTTGGAAGAAGCTACAAGCCTTGCTTAGCAGGGGATCGTATTTTTTTGCATGACTTTAAGGGAGGTGTTAAGAATTATTCTGGACATTTCAAATTTTCACCTGCCCCCCCATCCCCTCTGCCATAAATTATGAACGCAGCCTAAGACTTACTTTCTCCATCTTGTTACCATAACAACATCATTAAGGTCAATCTTCATACGAGCTTCGTCTGTCCAAGGAGTTGAGACACATGTGCATAACCCCTGGCGCCAAGCCAAGAGACTGCCATTATATGGCTTGATAACATGATACGGCACCTGAAAGAAGCATATATACTCATGAGTTAATATATTATTGCAGGTATTATCCACCTGCATAGACTTGCTCAAAGTCAACCTCTCTTGTCTCCTGCACTTGAACTGCACTTAACCTTCTATGTCTTTACAACAAGGATAGTTTGCATAGTTCCCTGCTAGCAGAGTTTCTCCTCTTTCYCTCCCTTATTTTAGGCGGGGAGGAGGGAGACTCTGCCGATGTAGAGCATTTCCTTTGATACACTGCCGTCCATGATTGCGGACAAACGGAACCAGTTTTAAAACTGGTTTTTTAACCAGGTACATGTAGTGCGCATGAGCAAATGTAACACACCGTGGYGCCAAACGTTGTTTGACAAGAGAGGCTGTCAAAATCATGACAGCGTTGCTAAGTTAGGCCAYGCAGGTGCTACAAGTATAACRTCCTACATTGACAGAGTCTATTTTCTCACTCCACCGAAACAAAAGGAAAATAGGCTCTGCTAGCAGGGAATTTGTCCAGCAGCAGTTCCAGGAGAACATTTTGGGCAAGGGGGTGGGATCAGGACCACCAATTATCATCTCATTTTAGCATCTCTACYTCTTTTCTAGCCTGTCCCATTTTGAAAACCATGGTTCAGCCTTTGTCAGCTGRACTATAACAAGAGGACTCATAAAAAATTACTGACGATACTTACACTTCTTTCCCTCTTCAACTCCTTTTGCCATAGCTGTTCTACCTAGGAGATACAACAATAATTTTAAAAAATTCAATTTTTTCACATTATTAGTAAAACAAACTCACATATCTTGAGCCATTTCTATAGACCTTTCCCAAAATAATAATAATAATAGTAATAATAATAGATAGATAGATAGACACCTTTATTTAAACTTAAATAAAATAACAACAGGGTAGTCCAGTCAGTGGCAAAATACCTCTGCTATCAAAAGGAGCCCTGTTAAACATATACACAATAATAATAATAATAATAATAATAATAATAATAATAAGTGATTTTAAGTGATTGTATATATTATTAATCCTGTCATGCTGGTAGGTTATGAAATTACGCCCTATCTAGCTTACCTAATTAGCATTCAAACGTGTTTACTGCTGATAATAATAACAATAATAATAATGGTTCCAAGTTAAGGTTGGACAGTATTTTATCAAGTCCATTGTCAGACTTGGAGCCAATGTTTTGTGGTCACCCAAGAAAGTTTGGGAAAGGTCTGAGAATACAGATGCATGTCTGAAACTGAGTAATTTGTCAAGTAACATTAGTGTATGCTGCAAAATGAACCTTTGATTGTCTTACTACTCCAACTGCAAAAAAATCTTTTTTTTTGCAAGGCTCTCGTGTCATTACTGGGTTTGTACTGTCAACTTACTGTAAGTGTATATTGATGACATCCACTGCGTACAGGCCATGTAATACCATCACCAAGATAATCCTTCCTATTCCATATTACCTAGAAAATAAAATATAACTTTAGCAAGATAAATGCCAGAATAACATTGTTGCGGTTCACTGGGAAACTATAACCCCTCTCTCCTCAATATAATCTGTCCACCATATTTTGAATAACTTGCTTTATATTTCAAATATCAATAGCCAATGTAATAAATATGTYGTAAATGCCCCTCAAAATAGTAGAAATCACATTTCAAAGTGACTCAGTTTAAAACTTTTTGGTGTGGCCTGCTCCCAAACCCCTATAGGTTTTCTATTTCTTCAATACCATTAAAAGTATACGACATTAAAGTACCTGTTTAAAATTCTCTTTCCAGCCCAAGTTGTAAGGGTAGACAAATACCTCCCCTTCTGGTCTTGCTCTCTTCATAGCCTGAAGATCAATCAAAATAAAGAAAATTAATATTCTAATGATTTACTGTAAAATTCTTTTTTTTTTTTAAGAAATTAATTTTTTAGGTTGACAGGCTGGCAGGTGGGGGATTCCCTATCACACTTCACACTGAATTTCAAATGGTCAATGCTTTTAAAATGTGTGTAATATATCCAGTTCTGGATGCATATAGGAGGTTGCAAAGAAAAAATTTCCACAAAAAATAATCGTAAATGATTTTTTAAATGCTTTGGACTGAAAGACAGTTTGTATGTTCTAAAAAAAAGAGAGGTATCAAGAAATGTTTGAAAATGATTTTGACTTCCGTATGTGTGCGTATTCACAATCACTTGTACATGCATAGTCCATCTATTTTTTTCATCAGCCAATCGGAGCATACATTATATCATGGCTAGATGTCTGTACCCTTGAGGCTTACCTTTTCTACTATCCAGCATTCAATGGCTGTCTGATTCTCCCTTATACCTTTTGACTTAAAAACAATAACAAGATTTAAAACAACTTGGATATGATCTAATACTTCTTTATTAGTTGGGGGGGGGATCATAGATTTGAGTTTAATTGGACTACCTGTGGTGAACAATTCCACAGGAAGACCAATAAAMGTTAAATTATCAAAAACTTGCTGTAAATAGATACCTGATAATATAATAATATTCCTACTGCTATAGTAACTCCTATAGCCATTCCAAAACAGAACATAAAGAGGATTAGATGATAGATACCAAATGACAATGTGTCATCTCTGGCATATCTGTATACTMTTGGATCTGTTAACTGAAAATAGAAAAATAAATACTGTGACTTGTGACGATACCCAAACGTCTTTACATAACAATACAGACTAATTACAACTGAACCTGAGGTATAAATACCATCGACTGTGTCTCATTTTCTCATTGGACTCTGAAGATAACTTCAGCTCAGGTTGTCGAAACGTCAGTCACCAACAACAACAGTCTTTCTCAYGACTACACTCACCCGGATGAYCACATTTCGCACCAAATGAAAAATACATTGATAATCATTAATATAAACATACTATAAAGTTCATTATTAGAGTGGTTTTCATAAATCCATAAAATACACTTTAGCATATTTAGCACTACTTCACTCTCTAATTATTTTGTTTTCTATCGTGTTTATCAGACTAATACTTTCTAAGTAGTACACTTTTGTTGGTACTTTCTTTCACAGGTTAATGAAAACCCCTCAGACTAGGACATTGCACAAGTTGAAAGAGTTTTATAAAATAATTGGGATAGTACGCATACTACAAATGGTCGAAAACCATGTTTGATGAGGGTATCAAAACACGCTCACGACATCCTTAATAAATACATCCGAATAATACRATATTCCGCTACRCGTCATGGTTTCCTAYGCCCCTCTCAAGTTCTCTCAATATCCCGCGTGTTTTGATCAGAGTATCAAACACAGAAAACTGTTTTTGATCTGTTAAATCAATAGTTTATTTCCCATGTAGTCTCACATTCAGACTGCCACTTCAGAAGGAAGTTACATGTGTATAAACAAAGAAAAAATATTTTTTATTCTCATTGGAATAAACTTGGCACTGTGCAATCAAGGTCCATTCACAGTTGAAAATTCTAATGATTTCCATGGCCAGATTAATATGAATAACTCATACCTTAAAAACTTGGTAATAAATACAGAATCCTAAGATGATAGCACAATGAATACAACCAGGAGGMACAAAGAACAGAAACAGGGTGAAACTCTTGATATTTTTGTGTCCAACACAATTATTAATCCATGGACAATGATGATCCATCTTCATCGCACACCTAAAAAGGATGTTTAAAAAACTGGTAATCATGTACTTTATGATCAGCAAACACATGTTGACGGATTAACATATGGCAGACTATTCCCTGATCATTGGTCGACAGTCAGCCAATCTTTGGCCATCTGTCATAAAGCTTTCAAAGTACCTTTGCAACATGAAATCAAAACAAAAATAAGATTTACAGTGTTGGTGAAGTGTCAACTGATGATCAGTCAACAGTTTAACAAGTGTTGATTGACACATGTCAGCTTGCAAAAATATATGCATATTTTTGTTGGACAGCAATTTCCTCAATACTAGGCTGTGACCATACTACATATAAAGAAAGTGAATTATATCATCAATACCTCCTACATTTACTACAGTGGTGTGCTCTTGGTGCCTTGTAACCTTCACACACATGGCAATATTGCAAATATCGAGTATCCTCCTCGTGATCCTAAATCCAGACAGATAAAATCAAATCCATTATGATATCCAGCAAATTTCATAAGAATATGAACAACTACATTACTGATCAGGGTGTATAGAAGCTTTGCACCATCATTTGCACATTTATTTATTTGTCAGTCTGTCTGTCTGTCTGTCTAATTAATGCCCAGGGGTACTCTTGCCTGTAGGGATGTCATGTGCCCCTGCACAGAGCCCTCTGAATTCTGCTTGGACCCTGTTCCAGGGTAAAATCGCTGAAATTCATACCCTGTTCCAGAGCAAGATTGCTGAAAACCATACCCTGTTCTGGTATTGCAAAAATAGATACCCCGTTCCAGAGAGGAGAGAGCAGGATTTCACATGCCCTGTCCCAGAGCAAGTGCAATTTTCTGTGTACTTACAGGTATCCACTGGGCAGGCACATAACCAGGACCAAGCCATATAGCTTTCAAAAAGTTCATCAGAATTAGGAATAACCACGTCAAATAAACACATAGCTGTAGCATACTACCAAGGGAAGACCATGGTGGATATATCAGTGTCATACCATACAACCCAGTCAAGAATAAAGTAATTATAATGGACAGGGCCAAAATAGGACCCCAGTGACAGATCCTTTTTGCCATAATTTGTGCTCAGCTCMAAGGAGATAAAGTACTATTTAACTTGTTCTTATCATGATGGTGTTATACGAAAATTGGTTTSATGTAGTTGTAAGCTGCTTATCTGAAAGTAAAATTAAGTGACATTATTCAAGAAATCGTGAATTATCAAAAACGCCTCGACAACTTTGAATTTCTTAAGTTTAAGTACAGTTCAAGCTTGAGTATTCTTTAATAAAAGTTCAATGACCGGCTAGTTTAGGATGGGAGRGAGCGAGCTGAGCTGAACTTGCATGGCTGTGTACATGCATAATAAGACCTCAACCTATGTACATGTATTTGAAATATGCAGTCTAATATCTCAGAGATCTTACCTCCATTCACAGTTCAACTTAGAGCTAACTCAATATACAACTAAAGGAACAGAATCAGTCATGTGGTCTGGTTTGAAGGGACCGGTAAAACACGCTGACTTGAGAGCGGAAACAAAMTCAAGTCATCTTTATTTTGCCAGCTAATGTTTTGGAAAGACAAGTGCACAATGTACCCTGGGTAATGGCCAACCCTWATATTATAGTCACTCTACCTTCCTTAATCGAGCGGTTGGGTAAAAACGAACTCCAGAAATAAAAAGAGCGCCTTAATATTAGTAAGCAGGCGAAGTCTTAGTCCACAATGTTGACTTTAGGAGAAATGGCATTAAATATAAAATTAATATGAAAAATAAATTAAAAAATAAACCGAGAGTGAAAAATAAACCGAGAGAAGACTGAGTAACAGCGAAGAACGCCTGGTGAGAAACTCTATCAGCAKTGAAAATCAAAATGGCGCCTGTCGACACGAGGAGAATTACAGGGCCAGAAATCAGCCAACCAGTCATCTGTAGGATAGAGAATGATGTGAAACATTCCCTGGTAACCAAAGTATTCAATCAGAGAGTTTGAAGGGAATCGATGAACTCATTGTGTTTGTACTGTTAGGTTGACAAGGATGGTGTTAGGAAGGATGGTCGACATGTGAATGAACTACGTCCAATGTGTAAGTACCAGCTTGTAGTATGTAAACTGATTAACTAATTTTTCTTAAACATCATCGACAGCTTTTAAAAGTGTGGTCTTTTGGCTTCGCCTACTCAAAAAGTTACCAACTAAACGGTTCTTACTTCGATAGAAGGAAGCCACATTGCCAACAAACGCTTTCTAGCCAACTCGGTGCAGATTTAAGTCTGCATTTAGAGCACGCGTTGRGATTAATGTTTATTGTACAAAGTACATTATATTTTTATGTACACAATCATTAATTGTTATAAATGAACTTCAGTTTTAAGGGCTGGTCTCGTCAGTCAAGCAAAAGGATCAGCRTACTTGGAAACAGAAAAAACCAAAATCATATGTGCAGTGTATCCTTCTTAAATATTTCAGGATTGAGGGAATTATTCTAGGTTTRCTACATGTAATGGCTGATAGGTTAACATAAGCATTGCCAGGTGAGGGTTTAAGGGGCTCGGCTATGAGCTTCACTTTCGATTGGCTGTGTACGACTGGAATATTTTGAGAGACTGATTTGAATGAGATGGATCGAACCCCCCTCACAAAAAGCTTTTCCTTGACGAGAGACTTTAGATATGGACCAAGAGATGCACCTAGAAGACAGGAATTTAGTATGAAGGTATTTGAGATGCAAAAAAAAAAAAGTCAGATTACTATTCATATTCATACGTGACATGGCATCTCAGAAGCCTTATTCATATTGCAATATATTTACAGGGACRTCTTACTTGTGAATTCAAGTATGCACCTTTTTCATGTAAGCAAAGGCATGGTCATCTCCAGGTATGTGTATCTTGTATAATGTGTGTCTGGGGGAGGGGGGGTGACACCAGGGGAATTAACTTTTTTAAGTGCCCCCACAGTAGGGAATTTGACGTGGCTGCCATYTTGAAAAAGCAGGAAAATACAATAATACAATAATATAATATAATAATAATAATATTAGAGAGTTTATGCAAGCATCCAATTTCAATTCCTACAAATGGTAGATTGATTTGTAGATAAATTTTCTTTTTTGTTGTTAAAACTTCGATCAGGATTCAGAAGAGAAAGGAAATGCACAATTAGTAGTTGAAGCTCTGGAAACTGCTGTATTTCTTGTAAGTATGTACAGTGCTGAAATTAAATTGCTATTGAAGGTTAGCTGAAAAAAGGGGTTTGTTTTTTTAGGAAAAATTTCCAAAATCGCAAGTTGATATCTTCATCAATGTTTTAGAAAATGATGGAAGYGGTAGGTTAATCAATGTTGCCAGTTTATTGATATCTTATGTTAAATCATTAAAAACTGCTATATTTGATATTAATTTCTGCATACTAATTTGCCTAATTTTTAACTGGCTTTTTTCATTGCTTTGTAGCACTCTCAGCAGGACTGATTTGTGCTTCTGTTGCACTTGCCGATGCAGGAATAGAGATTCAAGACCTTGTTGCAGCTTGTACACTTGTAAGCATCAAAAACAGCAGGGGTAGAATTTTATATAGGAACTGCACCTTATGGTTGCTATCCAAAAAACATGTTTTTGAAAAGTATATTTTAATTTAATGTGTAATAATATTGTTCTAGGTTCAAACAAAAACTAAGTCTATCCTGGATCCTGATGAACAAGAGGTATATTATCGATTTTTTTTGTTATTTATAATCAACTCTTTATTAAACATATTATATCTTAGACTAAATATAAATATTGAATTTCACATGAGCTGTACCTAATGACATTAAAGAAGCCTGTCTTATTATCCATTGTTTTCAAAGCATACAGCTCATGTGAAGTTCATTGTGAGCTGTGCTTTATTGCTTTATTTCCTAGTTAAATTCCAAGGAGGTTGAAGGTCGTATGATGGTAGCATTACTTCCATCAGTGAATCAAATATCCAGTCTCACACAAGATGGAGAGATGACCAAGGATTCTGCAGAAAAGGTACAAGGAAATACAATATTACTACTAGTTGCATGCACAACAATGTGGCACTTAATCAAAGGCCATCATTAGACTGAATTAAATCTAAAATCTAATGCATTTTAGACTCCTGGTGGATGGCTATGGTGGTTTTGCAACCCAGTTGATAAGGCAGCTGATAAATCAAATTAAAATTTATAAGTTGATTATTGCAAAGAGAGGAAAACCGGAGAACTCGGAGAAAAAAACCCTTGAAATCACAGGAGAGAACCAACAAACGATTCAACTCACATATGACACCAATCCCACCAGGGCTCCAACCCAGCTCKCATTGGTGAGTGGGGCACATTAGCAGTGCATGCCACCCCTGCTTCAAATAATTTTTTGCTGAGTCAAACTAAGTCAAACTACAARAACAAGCACAGTATGACTTGAATCTAAACCAGCCTCAGGAATGCTTTTAAGTGCGAAGTGGCTATGAAACATTTCATTAACTATTTCTATTTTGGCATAAGCTTGTTATCATTTATGAATGTTTGATCTTGGTCCTGTTCTTTTACAGGCTGTAAATGCTTGTATTGATGGCTGTGCACGAGTCTATCCAGTGATGCAAGATGCACTTGTTGAGAATGTTAAAAAAACATTTCTTAACAAAGGAAACAACGGATAGATGAAAATGGAAACTTGATGATAGACCATTTTATTGATATGACAGCCACCTTGATTTATGAGATGCATAAGGGGCAAACGTAGAAAATGCAGATAGCATAGATTGTACATTTTCAAATAATTTAAGTATAATTTAAAGTTGTTGGTGTTTCACATGGAATGCATGTAGTAAAACCATGCAATAAAAATGGTCTCTTGTGTATTTGTCTTTGTATTATGAATTTTTCTGGTTGAGTGCTAGCAACTATTAGTCACTGAATAGTACTATTTGTCAGTATCAACTTTGTTTTTATTTCAAGGTTTTATTGCATGCACTCTATTGTTCCAACTACCAGCAAATTTAATTGCTTTTAAGATGTACTTTTCATTGAAAGCGTAAAGTTATATAAAAAGACACCCTGACAGCTGTGCAGTCTATAAATTTTCCAATAGTCGGCATCCCATTTTACAAATAGAAATTTCAAGATGTATCTTCCCAGGTAGATAGTCCATGGTTTCATATAAATTATTGACAGAAAACAATGTAAACACGTAATTTAGAGCAGTAATGCTTTAAACTCAAAAYTTTATTGTGGATATTTAAATCTTGACATTCGTTTATGATATATTGCTCTTTATACATTACAAAAATCATGCAAGTGACAAAGTAACTCAACTACGTGCTAGAGAAAGATATTGGTTTTCAGCTGATAGTAATCTTTAATAAATAAATGTTATCCTATGAATTATAAGTAAATTTAGAAAATGTTTGTACAAACTTTAGATGACAACAGGATCAGAAATTTTTGAGACCRYTTATATAATACTCCATTTTACAGTTCTGGTCAGTGATCACGAATAATAGTTCCAAGTGGAGGTTGAATTTACCRTGCATAGCARAACTATAGTTTATCATGCGCACCAACTCCAAGCTCTGCTAGGAACCATTACTCTTCCTCACTGAACGGAGCTGTAAAAAGTATTTTACGTATTATTAAATCTGACATGATTCTTTARGTAAAATTAGAGATTTTATTTCTTAATATAAACTGTTCAAATTAATAGGAATGTTTTGGTGACAGAATTAAAAAACATGAAAACCCAACACAGTAATGATTTTTTTTTTATATAAGTAACTTGCTAAGCATAACTCCTACCAAAGGATCAAGAGGTTATGTAATATTCTTGCTCTGACATTCACTTCTGATCAATGTTATTACATTATCTGGTATTTGCATCTTTGACTGTGCTTGTGTAACCCTCTCCTACCYAAATCAAATTACAACCTCTTAAACACAGTAAAAACTTCTAAATCAGACGCTAAGTATATAACACATCTAACCGGGTCACATGCAGTTGACCAGTAATTCTCTGTGGTTGGTTAACAAATAAGCAGTCGACCTATCAAAAGCAAAGATAATAGACCTATCCCRAATTCACTTGACTGACCACGAAATAATGGTTTGAAGTCAAGACTGAACTTGATTATTTTGTTCATTAAGTTCAACCTCGACTTAAAACCATTGTTTCATGACCAGTCAAGCGAATTCGGGATAGGGCTATTAGTAATTCTCTGTGATTGGTAAATGAATACAGTTAAGCAGTCAACTTATAAAAAGCCAAAATAACTAACAATTTAAGTAGTCGGCCAACTTAGTACATTAAGATCATAAATTCTGTAATAGATCCTTAAGTGAGTAACAGCTCTCCTTCAAGGGTCATCAATGAAGAATGCAACAGGAGTCCTAGAGTAYATAGGAATATATAATTATATCAACATTTGACCTAGCATAACCCTCCTTTGAGTATTTTATTTCTTAAACTATTTTCTATGATTATCAATACAAAAAAACTTTTATTTATTTTTTCATGTAAATGCAAAAGAAATGCTTGTGAAGTGTAAATAATAGATGTGACTTAATTATTTTATAGAATTTTTTATTTTACAGTAAATTGCTATGGATTTATGGTTGATATTTTACAGTGATGTTGATGCAGATTTAGTTACAATGGGCTGATAGAAAATAATCAAGCAGCAGTATCATGACTACCCAAGTTGAAAATAATTCTCTTATCAATCCTTAATATCAGTTAACCACATAAAAATTGGGGGGAAATTCGTGCAATATTTTCATAAAGTATTACTAATTACTATCCACTCATATTACTAAGTTATAGAAACTATTCTTTGGAAAGTCTTTTTTTGAAACATTAAACAGGTCTTTTTAGCTTGGGAGTAATGTTTTACCATAATGAGATAATGAGATTCAAAGACTTATCAGATGATTGAAACACCACAATAGACCTCGGCTTGGGAGTAATTTTYTTTTCATTTCAGACAATKTGTCATTCCCTGCATGAGAAGGYAAATGAATATGCATACAATTTRAACAAAGAATCTCATTGTTCCCAAGACAATTACATGTGGTCTGAAATGGRAAAACATTACGCCTAATTAAGCTGAGGTCTATTGGAGAAGTCAAAACCCAGGTAACTAGAAACCAGGGGGGGTACCTTGCCAGAATTTTGGTAGGGATGTTCCGCTGGGATTCTGAAAGGGGTACCCTGCTTATGACATAAAAACTCAAATTYGTAGACCCTGTTTATGACAAAAGATATAATTAATTGCTCTGAGTTCCTGTTTCAATTATCATGTCATCTCACGTATCGTTTTTTTTTACGACCATAATAACCAGTTTCGGTCAATACGAAAGTAGAAACCCTGAATATGACAGGAAACTCAGGAAGAACTTGGAACTTGAGTGAAATTGCATACCCTGTTTATGACAAGAAGCTCGCAAAACCATACCCTGTTCAGCGGATCATCCCCGTATAGTCCATATAATTATGGAAGTACCCCCCCCCCCCTCCCCGGGACTAGAAATAACAGAGAATACAGGAACATGAAAAAGCTTGAAATGAAATAATGTACAGTGGGCCAGTTAATAATTCTTATCAACATCTGTATTAAGCAAATATGTGTACCATCTTCTTAACTCCCATGCTAAGAGAAGATACTAAACATCAACTTCTGAACATCAACTTCTGAACTTCTTAACTCCCATATTAAGAGAAGATACTGAATTAAGATTGAGAATTACGTTGTCAAGACCCTGTTTGCATAATAATTATGGTGGTTTATATGAGAACTACTATTTCTATTACTTTTGAAACAGGCAGGTCAATATAGTGATATGTTTTGATTTACTTTAAAAATTTTGTTGTCGTCGTTTCTTGGCCTCCATTGCATCAAGAATGGGCTGTCGCTTTCCTCGGTAACGCATACGTAACTCTTCAATCTCCTTCTCCATTTCCATGTCTAGTGTTTGCATTCGTCCCATAAGTTCCTCAAAGCTTGAGCCTTTTAACTGAAATCAACAGAAGTAATAACTTAAGAAAATGAAACTATAGTGGAATGGCATGGCATTGGCTGAATAAACAACAAGCAATGTGGAGCAACCTAAAAAATGGGGGGGGGGGGGGGGGGGGGGAAACAAAATAACTGCATTTCTTGGTTTAAAGGTTATAGGCACTTTAATTATTATCAAAGATTACTTACAAATGAGAAGTCTGGAGCTCCAGTTTTCTTGATTCTGAATGGGTCTATATAGCCTTTTATCATTGCTGTTTCATCTTCAGGTCCATTCTTCTGTCCTGAACCACTTCCATTCCTACCATTACCTTGTTCCTCATCTATTTGATCAAAGTGGTCCATAAATGATGGTCTATATTCTTGTCTTGCATCAGAGTCTAGTCCTGAAAAATTAAATAATTATGATTATAAATAGTGGACCTTTTTACCTTGGGCGSAATGTTTTCCCATATCAGGCCACCTGTCATATTCATGTCTTCTCATACACAACCGTTAAAGAAAGGAATGATACTCTAGGGAATGAAGACACATGGTCTTAATGGAAGAACATTACACCTAARGTAAAGAGGTATATTATAATGATTTATTGGGCTGAAGTTGCTATAGTTAACCAAGACATCTGAAAGTTGCTAAGGTTACAAAAACAAGAAAAGAGTTAATAAATTGAATTGTTTAGTTCAAGAAATTATCCATACTCCCCCCCCCCTCCCCCAGGTGGAATTTGGAATTTCCGAGGGGTTGGGGGATCAGAGGATCAGAGAAAGAATGAAATTAGTTTTTATGGAAGAAAATTGTAATTTCTTGGGGTTGGGGGGTCAGAGTCTTTCAAAAAAAAATCCTCCAYTGGGGGACGGATAATTTTTGGAACTATACATAGTCAATTCAATTCAGTTGGCTGTCTTCAGGGCTATAACATGTATGACACAACTCAGTGCTAGGGCTATTTGAACAAGAGATAGGAAACTAACGGACTTCTGTGCAAGCAAAAAAACACAATCGGATTGGTGGGTGAGGGTGGGGTTAAAGTAAAGTACTGTTACAACATACTCTTCATGGTAGAGTCGTCATCTGTATCATTGTTAATAACCATCGTTCCAAGGTCTGACTCCAGTAAGGTGCCTGCCTCACTATTCACTATCATTGTCCCTTGACCCTCGTCACCAGAGTTAACAATCATTGTACTGTTTTCATTCACAGTGTCTCCTTCACCATCGACTGCTACTACTCCACCTCCTGTTGAGCTGCCRACTTTGACCAAGGTGTCAGAATCAATGTCGCCAAATGATTCTACCTCTTCCTGGAAATTTAAGACCAATAGGAGGTTTAAAATTAGGTGTCATCAATATTGTTTGCCAAGAGGGGGTGGGGGGGG